AACAAAAAGTAAATTTTTAGGTGCGGTGTTGATGTACCAAATTTTATTGATTTATCTGTTGTCGATTAGAAAATATTTTACTGTCTTCGGTTTTTATTACCACCCTGTATATATAAAATAATAAACTTTAATGAATATTGAGAGTTTTTTTTTTCTTTTTTCTAAGAAGTTTGTCTAAACACAAACTATATTTTAAACTAAACTGTACGTGAAACGGTCTACAAAGAAAGCCTTTCAAAATATATATATAATCATAACTATACTCAAACTAAGCTTTTGGAATAATGTAAAATACTCGATAAAATATTTTCATAGTGTTTGTGATAGGTTAAATCTCTAACGGTTACCATGTAAAATAAAGAACAGGTTACACGATGATATTTTAATCACAACAAAATTCTTCAATGGTTCTTTTGAAAGTTCAACAATGAAGGGAGTTTTTTTTATGGGGGGTAGCCCGTAGCCCTGGGGGTAGCACATATAGCTTCACTATCGTATATATTATCATAGTAACAAAGAATTAAATATAGACTGTCGGCCGTGCTGTTTTTACCATAGTTACCATAGGTTCTGGTACACACCGCTGGGAACGACGCGCTGTGTAGTTAGGTAGCGCGTAGGTCGTAACAACATGGCGCTCCCAGCGGTGTGCGCCAGAACCTATGGTAACCGCAGCACAGCTGACGACTTTCATTTTTGTCTATAATATTATATACTGTATTTCATATCTTATCTGTTTATTATACAGTGTTATTGAAAAGTTTCGAAACGGTGTAGGCTAACATATTTTTTACCATTATAGATAAAGTAATAAAACATGGTAGCCTATATCAATAATAACCATAAATGTCTACTCTTTGAAGATTATATTACATTTTACCTCTTAAGATGAGCGGCCCACAGGTAGTGAGTCAAAAATTCTCAAATAGCAGCATAGGTAAAGTTTGGTATCAAATTAAATGTCTTATTTATTCAAACACATTGCCGCAAACCCGAACTCAAACGGAGAACCGAGTCAAAAATGGCAGCCGTCAAAATATTTCTTGAATCTGCCATTTTGAATCTTCAATCGGCTGCCATTTCTAACCCAGATGTTATTTTGAGCTCAAATTTTTGGCATTTTACTGTACTAATAAAGATCTTTATTGTGATGATATTGATATCGGCCTGTGCTAGCTTATGTTTAAGATTTCTTCCGACTTCTAGCGGGCGCTCCTCAGTACTATATTAAATAACTTCTTGATCAGCATTGTACGTGTTATTGCATTTACGGAGAGTAAATAAAAGAATCGTCTTATAACACTTAAAAGATATATTTACGCTTATACTGTTACTCACAAGACGGTAAATATACAAAAAAAGACGGTAAGTGGTGATCGAAATCCATCACCAGTTACCATTTTTTTTTTATATTTACCGTCTTTATGGTGAGTAACAGTATAAGCGTAAATATATCTTTTAAGTGTTATAAGACGTTTCTTTTATTTACTTTCAGTACTAAAGAGTGCGCCAAAAACCTGACGGTTTCTGTTTTGTTATAAGTCAGCTGTTATACTTGCTAGAGACCTCATTGTTGTAGTGAACCATTGCTTATTTTATGCTATTTTTAGGTTATGTTTGGTAAACCATCACTTCGTCGAAAGAAAGTTACTGTCTAGTGTGGTGTGGCGCGGTTTGGAGTCATCGGACCATATGTTTTTGAGGACGAAAGTGGAAACACCCCCCTGTCACTGTAAACTCGGAACGCTATGTGGAAATACTGAGGGATTTTTTGGTTCCACAACTGCAAATGTTAGGAGGGATAGACATGACCAACACATGGGTTCAACAGGACGGCGCAACATGTCACACAGCCAATTATTCAATGACAGTTTTGCGTGAACTCTTTCCCGGTAAAGTGATCCCCAGACTTAATTTCGTGTGACTGTTGGCTATGGGGATAGTTAAAAAGCAAAGTGTTTGTTTCGAAATTTCGAACCATCCCTGAACTCAAGCAGTGTACCCGAGAAGAGATTGCTTCTTTTCATCAGGCGAAGGTGACTGCAAATATGAAAAAAAAAATGGGAAGCCCGCGTTTAGGAGAAGGTCATCACCTAAGTGATTTTCATAAATGAAAATGGCATAGTACTGTGTACAATATAATATTATTTAATACATAAAATTTTATTTTGTTCTTGAGTTATTTAGTATTAAAACGGTCGGGTTATTTTGGCGCACACTGTATATTGCAAATTATAGGAATCTTTGAACAGCTGTCATTCTTGACTCCATTATTCGATTGAGTTCAGGGTTGCGGCATTGTGTTTTGTAACGGAGAGCTTCAATTTGATACCAAACTCTCGACTTATGCTGCTATAGATTTCGTCTGACTCCTCGTGAGCCGCCCCTAAGGGGAAAAATTAATAATAGCTTAAAAGAGCAGAAATTTATGGCTTTAATTGACTTACCAAGTTTCCATTCCTTTATCTATACTCGTAGTATAAAATATATTACACCGTTCCGGGTCTTTTCAATCACACTGTATACTATATACTTATTGTAATATCATCGGGGTATTATATGCCTGATTAATATGGATAGCATAGTAAAATACTTTTTCTGAATATATAATTTTAAAATAGGGATCTAGAATATAATATATGTATTACTTGTTAAATTGTTTTTAATATGTCACAATAGTCATTAACGTCCCTACGGCATATAGAATAGTGTTGTATTCTTTTTGAAACCTCAAAAATCTTACATGTGTAATTTTAAAAGTTATACCTCATAGTTTTGAAAATTGACCGACGTAAGTTAACATTGTGAGATATGGAGTTCTGTAATTTATCTGATAATTTTACGCAATGAATAAAATCGGCATCTACGGGATTCAACAAAAAGTATGAATTTAACCAAACAAAACTTTATAAGTAAAAAATATAAACCCAAAGAAAATATAAAAATAAAAAATATTTAAAACAGGTTGCTACATAGTGGCGTCCATACATTATCTCGCCAAAAGATGTAGCTACCTTGATATGGTGCCATACTCCTACACTGGGACTTTGAAATAATTAACAAATTTCCCCCTACAATCTTTTTTCTCTTTTCTTTCTAATGCTTTTTTTAAGACATCCCTAAATAAATAGGCTATATTTATATGTTTAGGTCTTATTGCATATAGTTCATCAGAATTTTAGAAGACATCATTTAAAATATTTTCGAAGACTGATTGATTAGTTTGTATTCGAAAATGTCGGTAATGTCACTACTGAGCTTTTGAGGGACATTTGGCAAGATCCAATAGCGTACACTTTGCAATATAACAAAATTCACTAAGATAGGTTTGCAGTATAGTTACATTTTGTTACAGACAAAAAATGTAGTTGTCCAACGTAATAATTTGTATTAATACAAACACTAATTATTATGTTATTCTTTGAGGTTCAGGTGATACCAATAGAATGTACATTGTTAATGTATAAACATTTTAATGTAAATCAAAAGTGATTGGACTAGTTCACTGTTAAGGTTGTGTGTGAAGAGATAATACAAAATCGGTTTTTGATGTTGTGAAGTTGTAATTTTATCATATATTTCAATTGTACGGTTAAAAAACAACCATCAGAAAAAGGTAGCTTAAAACTGAAAATGTTGAAGAAAAATACGGTAATGTATATTTTAACGTGTACTGTAGTTTGTAAAAAAAAATAAAAAAAATACTTTTTATATAATTGTGGCACAGCTGAATTAAAATAGAATGGACTATAATCATTGAAAAAGTATTTAGAAAGAAAGTAACCTTTGTCTCTCATGAATAAATTATTTAAATAAATATTGGATCGAACTGAAGGATAACTGGCAAAGAAACCTAGCTAGGTATACTTAACAATTCCAACAGGATTTCAAATTTTCATGAATAAAACCTGTTACGTTTCAATGCTTTTTACTTTGTAACAATAGACTAAATTGAACTATTTAAATATATTTTACCTAGCTTTGCCCCACTTGAACTTGGATTCCAGAGTGTTCTTAACCCATGCTCCTCCATATAAACGGTTCGCTGGCATTTCTTTGCATTTTAAATCATTTACATTTTTGGTAATGACACTTTACTTTAGGCTTGGGATCATTTTACATTTCCTTTGTATAAAGCTTAATCGACCAATTATTTTTATGCGTTAGTCTAGGTCTCATGTGGGTTTCACCGTTATATTGATCTTATCAATTCCTTTTACCGTAAAATGCGTGCGTATTTTTGTTACAAAATAGGCCTAAATTAAATAATGATGCTATCTGTTTACAATAAGATAAAGGAAAAATAACGTATTATAATTATTCCTCGTAAATTAGCTTCACTAAAGTATAATTTGTGAGAAAATCCGGTTATTGTGTTGTAGCTACACCATACATTATTGCAGACATATTATAGGATGATTTACTAAAGTATCCTTGTTGCAAAGTTAACTTATCCGGCCTACAACGACATCGCGTACATCTGCCTTTGTTGTGATTACTGTTCCTTCAACCATTTCTTATTCAAAGGCTAAGTTGAGGGGGGAAAACGACAACTAAAAATAAACATCAACTGAACTCTGTCGTTTGAAAAGAGTTGACTGGCTTTGCATTAGGGTAATCAGTCAACGTCTAAAAACGAACAACAGCAAATTAAAATAAATACAAAAAATATACTACAACAAAAAAAGTGATTCAACGGATGTTAACAGTTCTGTGACGGTATTCTTTTTTTTAAGACTTTATAAAGACTTATTTGGCTTAAAGTTTATTATTACACAGTGTTGATTTTTTAGCTTAATACAAGCAGAAATTTCTAACAATTTTTTAAACGCGTTTTATCTTTTTTCGTGACCAGAATACCAGAAAACTACTTGAAATCATCTCAACAATAAATGCGTTAATAAAAAAACAAGAAAGAATACCAAATGGGTGGTTCTTTATAAACTATTTTTCTTTTATGACAGATAAATAAAATACAGAAAATTTACTTGGAAACTTACGAGGTCGAAGCGGAGGTTGATGATTGGTTAACTTTAAATGTCAGTTCAGTAAGTGAAAGAAGTCGAATATCTCACCATCACTTGACACACACACATTCACTCACTGAAAGTCCGAGTTGGCGCGGGTTTACTAGCTTACTCCGTGGACTGGCCGCCACTGCCACCACTGCCGCCACTCACTGCGCTATCACTGCTGCCAACCCCCACACCCACTCTACCCTCCCCAATATTCCCTAAGATTCCCTTTTTCCGTTGATTGGATTCCCTACGATTCCCTTATTCCTTTGATTGGCCACCACTGCACTATCCCCCACAACCCCCATCAGAAAAATAAATTTATAAATTGAACTCAGCATTATTTTTGTAGAAATACGTCTGTATAATCACTAGAATTGTCGGTATGTTATATTTATCATAGGTTTGCTGTGAAATAGAATGAAGTACTATAAGATATAATCTAAATTAATTAAGGTAGCATTTTAAATAAGTATTGTACTTATTGTAGCCAGGGTGAGTCAGTGAAACGGGCTATGTTCTTATAACGTTAGTGAATAGAGGGGAAGAAGGAAAGGGGCCGAGTAAGTTACCCTGCGTTCCCAACCTCTTGAAGTTTAGTTGCCATACTTAGTTGCCATACCATCAGCAAAATATGCAAGATGGCCCAGAGCTAATTCACAGCCTATGGATGAGCGATGAGGCTCATTTTCACTTAACGGGATGTCAATAAGCAAATTTTTGATATTGGTCGGTCCACAAGCACTTCATGAATGACCAGTTCACTCTAATAAAGCTACGGTTTGGTGTGTCGTTTCTTCCAATGACATGAAATGGGGATATTGCCTGGCCCCCTTGATCCCCTGACCTCAGCTCCTGTTTTTTTGTGGCTTGACTAAAAGTTTAAGGAGCTGACTCTGATACTATTTTCAAGACTTGATGCTTGTTTTGTTGGTTCAACACAAACTTCCACTCATTTACTACGTTTTTTAATGAATAAATCGATTGTTTGACCTTTTTTAATACTTACCGAAAAATGGCCCGTTTCACTGACTCACCCTGTACATAATTTCAGAATTGTTTATTTGTGAAAAGAAGTAAACAAATTGTCAGAGGAATTATTGCTTCGCTTAAAAGGACTAGAAACACCTCTTTCAGATGTATAGATACCCCATGTTTGGAATAATGTTATTGTTTTGAATAATGTTATTGTGTCCAGTCCATCTAGATATTATCTACTAAAATATTTCATTTTCTGAGGCAATGTGCCAAGAGTTAACAATGCCCCCGTCAACTAGGGATTTCCGTACATTTAAAACGATTTTTTATAACTCACTCAAAGAAAAACAGAAAATAAAAAAATGGCAATTTGTTTACGATCTCTCTTACCTATCTGAATGTAAAATGAGTTTTCCTCTCTAAAGTTTCACCTACTCGAGCCAGCAATCGGTCGTTGTTTACATTGCTCGTAGTTACTGCAGTGATTGCTGTTTTATCACTGATTACTGTTGATTTCTCTTCAACTCTACAAACTGATAAACGTAATTTGTAGGAAGATACGTTTACTAAAACTCATTTACGTTGTGTTTGAAATGAATTTTACCCTTTGTCAACTACCCTTATACAAATAGGGATGCTTTATGTGTTTACTGGATGGTTACCGTGCTTACTGACTATCGGCACAAAAATTGACGAAGAACAAAATTCAACCAAGAGCATAAAAACTATATGTGGATGTACCTTTTCCCAAACTCGGTATTCGACAAAGCTCTAATTATTTTATGAATTTCAAAACCAACAAACAAATAACATGAGCTGTAGGCATATTTCACTATACAATTTTGCCATAAAACCAAATAATGTCAGTACAACCCAATAAGGCTTTGTAAAAGGGAGGCTTTGTAAAAAAGGTCAACTAATATTTGACCTCTAGATTTATTTGCATTTCTAGTGCAACTATTATGGGAGACGTATTTTCCCCGTCTTAACTTTTGCAGGTCCACAACTCAAAGAATAAAGCACTGAAATAATTATTACAGCTATATGCTCGATATAGTTAGAGACATTTTGAACCTATTAAACTTATAGGACATAAATTAGCCAGATATCAGGGGTCGCCGGATTTCTACCCCCGGATATTTACCCCCATGAAAAAACGCCTACGTCATTTTGACGTCACGAGGGGCGGGGCTTATACATGGTCGAGAAACAGCCCGCGACTGGAAATCTACCCCCGGACATCTACCCCCAGACATCTACCCCCGGACATCTACCCCCGGACATCTACCCCCGGAAATCTACCCCCAGTGGTCAGCTCTGCCACGTATCGGCCAATATTCATTGTTGTAATTGATTTTATTAATTGTTTTATGTAAATCAACGTCTCTTCGGTTAATCATTACCCTCTAATATCTAGTATTAAGCATGTGATATGTCATTGCCTTGTTTAACATTACTGTATCTATCTTCCTAATAAAATAAGTTGTAACAGCCCTTTTTCACCCGAACTACTTCACTGATATTTATGATTGAGGTCTAATTTTAAATCTTAAGATTCAGCTCAACGCAAAATGGTATTTAAAACCATATGTTGATAAAGGGCTTCAAAAGTGTGACCCTTAAGCATTTGATTCATTTCCAGACAGTGATTTAAATGGTTGACAAACTTTCACATACAGTAACAGCTAACGGCGCATGCATGAGCGCGGATCGGAAGTGTTTATCACAAAAGATTGACCAATACGATTTTAATACTATTTAAAGGTTCTTCCAAAAGAAGAGAAACCGGTTAACATTGTAATAATAACTGTTATGACGTAGACCTACGGTATGGGAAATATTTTATTCATTGAATGATCAACCATATTTTGTAACTAACGCAATAGTCATTATTGCTTTTACACTTATTACTCATCAAAAGAGCTAAATGCTCAAAATTTGTATTACTTCAATCTATTTATCGCAGTTGTAAAATGAATTAGCATAAGCCTTGAAAGTAACCGTCAGTGTCGACGGGTTTAACCTAATTCTGTTCTGTATACTACCTTAAAATGCCTCATTTTAACATTTTTGAATAATTGTCTTATTTTAGGTATTTAAGAGAAAATACTTTAAAATCCTTTCTTAGTACGCATCTAAAATCTTAGAAACTAAATTTTTTTACTACTAGGTGATATGAAAAATTTACCATTATACACCTGACTTTTTATTGATCCTCTTTCTCAATTTAACAGTTTACAACTGAATTGTCTTATTTTAGGGATTTAAGAGAAAATACTTTAAATCCTTTCTTAGTACGCATTCAAATCTTAGAAACTATTTTTTTTACTAGATGATATGAAAAATTTACCATTATACACCTGACTTTTATCGATCCTCTTTCTCAATTTAACAGTTTACAACTGAGTTTTGTTTTACTAAACAATTATTCCTACTAGGCCTACATTGAATAAACCGGAAGGTCACCACAGTTTATTCACTTTATCCTTTAAGAAATGTGTGTAAAAACAATGGTTCAGTACGATGTAACACTTGACCATGTGAAAAGTGCGCAATATTATATTATTTTCATAACTTGTTCATCTCCTGTTTACAGTTGCAGACGATCATTCATGTTTTCACAACCTGACTTAAAAATTGATCTGATGAGTACTCCTCACATTTCACTTTTAAACTGTTACTGTATAGTGTAAAAGTTGGTCAACCATTGGAAGCACCTTCTAGGAATAAATCAAAGGCTTAGGGGTCAACATTTTGAAGCCATAATCGAAATATCCTTTTAATTACCATTTTGTGCTGCGCTAGATCTTAAGCTTTTAAAAGACACCTCAATCGTAAAAAATCAGTGAAGTAGGTCGGGTTGAAAAGGACTGTTACAACTTATTGAATTATAAATATGGATAATGTTAAAACAGACATCGACATATCGCATGTTTACTACTGGATATAAGAAGGTAAAGCAATTTATAAAATCAATTATACAACACAATGAATATTGGCCGATACGCGGCAGAGCTGACCAATGGGGGTAGATTTCCGGGGGTAGATGTCCGGGGGTAGATGTCTGGGGGTAGATGTCCGGGGGTAGATGTCCGGGGGTAGATTTCCAGTCGCGGGCTGTTTCTCGAACGTGTATAAGCCCCGCCCCTCGTGACGTCAAAATGACGTAGGCGTTTTTTCATGGGGGTAAATATCCGGGGGTAGAAATCCGCTACCCCGATATCAGCGCCTCATAGCAACTACTCAAGTAGTTTTCAACCCTGAATAAACCATATCAACCATGAGCAATAAATGTCATAGATAAATAAACACTATTCGTATGCATTTAAAAGGTCTTCCACTTTTCTGGCACAGTAAATGTTAAATCTGCGGACAAAAGTGACAACCACAGGCGAGGAATTCATTGAGGCGCGGCGTGGAAAGTTTATGGGAACACAAAACATCAACCAGAGAAAAGATATTGCAAACTCAAATGTTCAGCTCAAGTTGTAAAAATATTTTGCATTCACATCTCAACAGCCTCCCAGTATTATTCCTTTCTGTGTATCTTGAGTTGAGAATGGAAAACTAAACTGAAATGTTTGTCAAGTACAGTATTGAGATAGGTTTTCTAGTCATAATATTCATAAAATTGTAATTGTTGGTATTCTAACATTTTTTTGTTTATCATTTTAAGAAAATACTTTCGTAATACTATGTCAGTAATTTATTTTTATATTTATTTTGTTCATTTATACTTCATGACTAAATATGTAAATGTAGTAAACTACATAAGTAAATGATTTGTTTCATAAGTTCATAGTTTAACATATCAAATGTTCATGTCATTCTATTTTCCAATTAAGATTGTATATATATTTTGGGTCTTTCTTAAATAAATCACATTCTATATCTCATTTAAACATATATATGTACCTTGCGATTATCCGTGAATATGTTGTGTTTCATCCGTATCAAATGGGATATACATTAAATTGACCTATAATTCGAGACTGAACGCGTACAACTTATACTTTACGAAAAACCTGTTCATATCTAAATAATTCATATTGATTTGAATTACATAATAGAACATGTGTATCAACCCGTAGATTGGGGTGAAACATAATCAAACTGTAAAATTGTTACCGTGACATGCATCCAATCTATATATGATTTACACAGTGAAACAAG